ATTCCCAAACCAATATAAAAGCCAATGTCATTCCTAGCAACTGTAAAATAAATAACAATTAAAAAACGAAACCCATATAAGTTCACAACAAATTAAAACGCCTAGATCAACATTAACATGAAATTAGCTACAAACCTGGATAAACCGACACTATATTAGACTAAACTAATAAGACATAAGCTTCAAATCAAATTCCAAATAAAAAATTTGGATAAAACCAACAAAACCACACCTTGTTCCTGTTCTGTCTCCCTTCTCTTGCTTTTCTCTTTTGCCTACTCCCCACATTAAGCCTTTTTTTTCCTCATTTTTTCTCTTTTGGCTGCTCACTTAACCCCCATTTTTTTTTCTCTTCACTTTCCTCAATTTCCAGTCCCCCCTTTCTTCCACATCTATCCTTTTTTTACTCATTTTTTCCATCACTACTCTTGACACTAATTCTCCACTCTTTTTTATCTCTTAATTATTTCACTCAATCAAAACATGGGATCACATTTTCTCAAGCAGCCCAAAAAAACTGACCAACCCAAAATCAGAAAAACATCAAACTAAAACATACAATCACCATTGTCCAGCAGCAAACGATAAATTAGAAATACAAAACAAAGAAAAAAAAACTGAAACCGCAAAAACCCAAATGCAAAAAGAAACAAAAGGGTGTTGCTTTGAATGTAAACGGGGAAATACCTGAGCATCAGAAGAAGAGGACTTATCATTTTCTTCATTTGGAAGCGACATGACTCTGCTAAATGGGATTATAAACCTACCCAAAATATAGAAAATTTATTAGAAATCATCGCCAAACAAAAGAAGAAATCGTTTTTCAAAAGCAAATTTGATATTAAATCAAGAATTAAAGAGTATATGTATATCAGCTCAGAATTTATAAATATACAGATCATGTAATTGAATTGATTGAACTGAGAGAGAGAGAGGGACTTACCGATTGTTTCGAAGGGAGAGAGGGAAGTGATCGGAAGCTGCTCCCTTACTCTTTCTCCCTAAACCCATACCTCCATACCTCCCTTACTCTTTGTCGAAGAGGGGGGGGGGGGAGAGAGAGAGAGAGGAAAGGTGGGTTCGTGGTGAGTGGAAGGGATGAAAAGAAATCCCTGGAAATCAGCCTACCCCATACTTCTCCCTTACTCTCTCCCTAAACCCATACCTCACTGCCGAAAATCCTCTCCCCTCTCCCCTAAATCTCGGCGAACCTCTCCCTCCAACCCGTCAACCCTTTTGTCCCCCTTCCCTCTCTCTCCCCAACTAAAAGTCCAAATCCAGCCCAAACACTGAAAAACCGTTCTTAAGCCCAGTGACAATCATGTAAATAAACCAACTGTTTCAGGCGTAACTGCATGAATAAGACACAAACTGCAGGAAGTAAAGCTCATATTTTTAGCAGTGTTATTTTAACAACAATTCTTCAACTGGTGGATTGCCCCGATGGGTAGGGCATTTCTCTTAGTCCTTCTGCATTCCAGGTTCAAAGTTCCAACCATCCCTCGTACCAGTTTAAGCACACCAAATGCCAAATTTAGCATGTTCTGTCGTCATCCACCCAACCCCAGCAGATACTCATACAAAAATCAAACAGAACTTGCCAAATTCATCCTCTTAAAATACAAACGAAAATAGTTTATGATCACTAACCTCTTTGAATCGAATGATATTCGGATTCTTCAGTGATCTGTGGTTCATGATTTCCCTTTGAACATGTTCATCCATCTGCATCACCAAAAAATTAATAAATATATTTTTTTAAAATATAAAATTTAAAGGATAAGAATTGCGAAGATTCTTAGGGCTTAGTTTGGAATGAAATAGCTCATCTCACCTCCATATATTACCAAATCTTAGCCTATATGATTTTGCCAGAGCCAACTAATGTTGAATATTTATCTGTTGAATGTTCTACTACCATCAACATTATAAAGGTTTCTAATTGAATCATATGTTTAAAATCCAAGCATGAAAGCTCTACAGAGATAAATAAACAAATGTAAATAACTAATTAGGCAATACACAGTCTAATTGAATCGTCATGTAAATCCAATTTCAGTACCACCTTCTGCAGAAAGAAAACAAATTTCAATTAACAAATTGTTTTGGGAGAGAAAATGGAACCATTAATACAAATGCCAATGTTAGAAATCTGAGCCACTGAGATTTGTTAATGTTATAAATTCTATATTAATTATAATCCTTTAGAGAAAATCTCCAATATCCATTATCCAATTAACCTAATTGTATTAAAAACCTAGCAAATCTCCATTAAATTAAGCACATTTCACAGTGAATTATCCATCTTTTCACAGTAAAGCAATAAAAAGATCATGAGCGAGTAAATCTAGACCACTAGAATCAAAATTCCAACCATCAATAACCATAATTATAAATTTTGACAAACTTACAGTTGCAACAGCGTTTAACAATGATCAGGCAAAAACTGAATCTTTCGTGGAGCCGCAGATGTTCTATCAGAAAAAAAAAATGAATAATCAAATTAGTTGATTAAATTTACGGAAGAAAGAGAGATGAGGGGAACGGAGGAGAACAGCAGAAGGAGAGGAAATCAGATTCAGAGTTTGAGAGTCAATTGCTGAATTTAGATGAACTGACCTTTTCGATGGTGTCTTCGTGCACTGAGTGGAGTGTGATTCAAGGTGTTTTTCTGGTGTCTTCGTGCACTGAGTGGAGTGTGTTTCAAGGTGTTTTTCTGGTGGGAGAAATAATATATTATGGGCTTCACATCATTGGAGCTACTTTTGTAGCTTTTGGGAGAATAAAATTGAATGTGAAAGCTGCTTTTGATGTAGCCATTAAGGTGGTGCTTCAGCCACCGAAGCAAAAGAAGAAGAGATGGGGACAAAGGGAACAAACACACATAAAAATACATACATTGAAAATTGAATCCTTTTTTGTATCTATACACTGATAATTTGACATTCAATAGGGAAAACAAATCTATAATTCAGGCTTTCAAATACATTATAAACTCAATTAATGCAAACAAAGAAAGAGCATCACACCAAACAATTTCATCAACCCCAGAAATCTGATTGCCTCATCACTTCACAAAACAATATTTTTTTAAACAGATTGAAAGCAAGCACCACTAAACTCTAAAGTCCGCACACAGAACCCTAAAAAACCGCTATTTCCTCAAAATGAAAAGAGAACCAAGTTATCTAGTTACACCTAGGATCCAAACACATAAACAAAACCCTCTAAATTAAAAATGCTCTCCTTTTTCGTGTATTTATACTGATCAAATCATCCCCTTTTTTTAACCTTTTTGTACTCATAAAATAATAATAATATTACATCAGAAATACCAGAATTCTTAAGCATTTGGGTTTTCAACTGAGCCTATAGGTGTCAAATTCTCACAAGAACCACCAGAGTTTTCCTTAAAACTTTTCTTTATCTTCGTGAGAATCAGAAGAATAACTCGAGCATCCTCCTCCAATTAGATGCCTGCATAAAGCCCCCAACAAATTCAATTAGTGTTTAAAAATTAAAATATTCAATGCAAAGAGAGCTCAAGCTGCTTCATATTGTTCTGAAATTAGAGAGAGGGTGTGAGAGATCACTTGAGGACAGAGGGCTGAATGCCGGAGTGAGACTCAGCACGTCTCTTCCCTGCATATAAAAGATGCCAAATAATTATGCAACCGACTCCATAGACTTATAAACATCACAATTATAAATTCTGAAACTGAAATAAATTGAACAGACTATACACAAAGCATAAACAAATTCAGCATATGAACACCAAAACTTACCAAACTCATCTGCTTGCTTGAAGTTGGTTTTAGTCATTTTTCTACAATCTACTGCATAAAAAGGACCAAACTATAATGACAAACTATATATGTAATTTGCTATAATACCCAAAAAATTAAATTAAACTAAAAATTGAGTGGAAACCATGACCAAAGTGTAAAATTCAAGAAAACATCCAACCCCAGAGAAAAAAAAAATTCTTTCAGAAAAATCAAAGAAATTCAATCAGGTAATCGATCAATTAAGTACCTAATTCCTTGGATGCCTTGAATAAATATAACTCCCAAGATAAATAATTAACTGTCCAATATTATATTTTTCCTGTTTCTTTCTTCTTATTCTCGGGAAAGAAACAAACCCAAAAACAAATAATTAAAGGGAACATACAGAAAATATTGGGGAGGAGACATTATGTTTTCTTCAATGTTTTAAAAGGCTCGCCTCAGGGCACGCCTATGCGTCCTTTGAGGCTGGGCTTGAGGGTTGCCCCCTCTATTTTGAGGGAGTGGGCGGAAGGCGTCACCAATGGCGCCTAGGCGCACCTCAAGGCTCTTTTTTTTCTTTTCTTTTTTTTATTTTACTCCCAAACCCAAATTTTTGGTACGGTTTTAACTGCCTCATACCTCTTCCTTGCACTATTGTCTCTCTGCCTTTTTTTCTGATTTTTATTTTTTTTATATAAAGGATATATGTGCTCATTGTGCTTTTCATCCTCTATTTTATATATATATATATATATATGTATATATATGTGTGTGCTCAAGATGATTATTGATTAATAATCTTTTTTTTTAATATAATATATGTATACGCTCAATGTATATATTAAAAAAATTTGGGCCTCACGCCTAGGCCGGGCCATCTCTCAGACGCCTCACTTACACCTCATGCTTTTAATACATTGGTTTTCTTTAACGTTATGGCTTGCAAAAGATACAAAAAAAAAAAAAAAAAAAAAAAAAAAAAAAAAGAGCAACATTATGTTTTTGGTCCTTTATTTTAGACAAAACAAAAAATAGTTGTTAGTCTTGGTACTTTAAATCAGATAACAAAAAGAAAGCATTTGCCCCTCTATGTATAAAAGCCCGACACACCCTTTGCAGAAGATCTGGAACAAAGAGCATTCATAGACATCATGGTTTCTGCTTTTATTTAAGCCATGTTACCAGACCACAACCTCCCTTATCACAAAATCTCAAATAAAATAAAATAAATTAGTGCAAAAGAGCCCAGCCATTTTTCTCTTCCACCCCTGCTCTGCCATTTTTCTCTTCCAATAGTAAAACATACTAAAGTAAAACAATAGCCCAAATAATTATTAAAAAAAAGAAAAAAAAATGAGAAGAATTTACATAAACCCAACAAAGATTAAACACTTACCCAGCTCCAAATTACCTTGTCATAAGCATCTCCTCCAAAGTTCTGCCGAAACAACGACAGATCAGACAGCGCCCAGCACAGAAACTTCACCCCGTCGTGCGTCACAACTGAATCAATGGCGTATCTCGTATCCTTACTCGATTTTATCATCGCCACATTCCTACACATTAAAAATAATAATAATAATCATAATAAATAAATAAGTATTAAATTTAAGGGGAATTTAGTACCGATTTAACACGACCTTACACAAAGCTTCAATCTCTACCCAAAATCTTCACAAATCAAACTTGGGTTTAACCAAAAATTTAAATTTACCTGCCGCTGTTGCCCTCCAACTTGTTCCGGCGGAGTAGGGCGGTGGTTGTGCCGGCGAACATGGGACCCATGATGACATGGACCTCGCCGGAGGTAGAAAAGTCACTGGTGGGGGGAATGGAGGGCTTGAAGGAGGCCATGGATTTGTGTTCTTTTGTTTTCTCAATATTCCTCCATAACTCCCTTACTCTTTGTCGAAGGGGGAGAGAGAGCGAGGAAAGGTGGGTTCGTGGTGAGTGAAGGGGTGAAAATAAATCCCTGGAAATCAGCCTACCCCATACTTCTCCCTTACTCTCTCCCTAAACCCATACCTCACTGCCGAAAATCCTTTCCCCTCTCCTCTAAATCCCGGCGAACCTCTCCCTCCAACCCGCCAACCCTTCTGTCCCCCCGACTCAAAGTCCATATCCAGCCCAAGCACTGAAAAACCGTTATTACGCCCAGTGGCAATCGTGTAAATAAAGCGAAATTTAGGTTGAAATCAGCCCGGTGACAATTTTGTAAATAAACTGAAATCAATCCAATGTAAATTTGAACATCCGAAATGCCAGGCTAAAGACGTATTAAAAGTTAAACATGAATACAAATGCGGGTATCCATCTAGCTTTTCCAATGCTAGCGTACATTCATCTGTCAATTTTACGTGATAATTATTTCACACGGTCCAAAAATCTGAAATCCATAATTCTCCCTAAAGGGAAGGGTTAAGAAACATAAAAAATATGGTCTTGCTAAGGAAGGTAATGCAGGTTTTGAAGTACCATCTCGTGAACACACTTTACTTCTTCAACAACAGTTTTGAATGGCATATTCCTGAAGCTGTATCAGATGCAAAAAATAAGTTATTTTCACTCTCAATATTTCTTTCTCATTCATTCTTCTTTGTTTCTTCCTCCGTCTTACAACGATTCTTCGTCCCCCCTTTCCCTCATATACTTTCCTTTATCTCAAGCACCAAAAAGTAAAAAGTAAAAATTAAAAACAAAAAGCCAAGTAGTTATCAAACGTACCCAAGTTTAATAACTCTTGGCACCAAGTCTAGTTCAATGCATGTAATAAATAGATAAATAACGATTAAACCCATTACACATTCAACTTATCCAAATTCCTTCTGGTTTGCCATTTCAACTTATCCAATCCACAATTCAACCAAACGGGTGGTTAAAATTACAAGAAATTGGTTAATGGAGAGGGAAAGAAATATGATTTATGCTCAATAATCAACTACCCAAAAGAAGGATTTGTTCGCAGTATCTGAAGAACTTAAGCGAGGAGTGAGAGGAAATGAGATTAGGGTCCTGTGGCCGGAGACTTTGCTGTTTGTCAAAGGAAGAGGATAGGAGTGAGCGAATCTAGATCCTTTCTAGATTCTCTTTAGATCATCTTTGTGAGGATTCTAGATATTCAAGAATTCTATTCATTCATCGTATATCGTGCTGTCAGTTTTTGTCAAAGTACTATTTGTGTGCAATTTTAAATAATAAAATTTAAAATGATTTCTAACCGTATGCTATACGATAAATGGACAGAATTCACGAATACTCCTCTTTCGGATAAAGCAAAAGCCACAGTTGGTCTTCTTACAATTGACGCTGCTATGAAATTGGTGGCAGCCATGTGGCCCCCTGCACACCGCACAAGCAGAGTGTGTTTGATTTGATAGGAAAACAATGTGTGTCTCTCCCATTGGTTGGCTTTGGGAAATTTACGAGGGTTGTTCCAACAGGATTTCCTTCGGATTTTCTTTGTGAAGATTTCGGGAATTCGTGATTTGTATCATTTTATCATACATCGTGCAGTCAGTTTTCGTCAGGTACTGTTTGTATTCAATTTTAAATAAAAACAAATTTAAAATAATTTCTAACAATACGATGTACGATGAATGGACACAGTTCACGGATGCCCATGATCCTCACAAAGAAGATCCAAAGAGGATCCGGATTCGGGGTTGTTCACAGCATTTGAGTGACATTAGACCAGTGATATAATAAATAAGGGTACGGAACATGATACATACGAAACGACTTGAAGGCCGATATTGGTATCGAAATCAACATCATATTAATGTAACTAGCCTTCATGCACGCGCACGAGCTCGTGCAGAAGACAATTTTTTAATCACGGCATGCTACGCGCGACTTACACGTTTTAAATGTATTTATATGCGTGAATTGACAAAAGGAAAGTCAAATATTTGAAGTAAATGAATAATCTTAGATCATGCTAGAAGAAACCCCTCACAAACAAATCAAAGCAGCTGAATTCATATAATAAAATCGGTCTTTCAATTTCCATCTACATTCTATTGAATTTACATTAAGAATAGAAAAAAATAATATTTAATAAACAATTGATTGAATCATATTATTGCTAGCCAATTGTAAGGCTAAGTCTCATTAGTGTAGATAATATTGTTTGTTCAAAAAATAAAAAATATTTGACAACTAATTTAATCACATTATTATGCACGTGCAAAAGATATTTTTTTGTAACCGGCATTACACGCCTCTTAACATGTTTTGAAGGTGTTTAAAAATATAGAAAATAATATTTAATTAACAACTAATTGAATCACATTATTACTAGCCTGTTGTGAGGTACTAATTTAAAAAAAAATGTACAAAAAGAATTAATTATTAAAAAACACAAAATAACGAAAATACCCTTGCATTTTTTTGGTGAAGCTTGTGACCCCAAAAGGGGTTGTTGGCTTTATATATAAAGATATCAACGATATTTACTAAATGTAATACCAAAAGAAAATGGAGCTTTCATGAAAACCGCTTGAGCTAAGATTATTTTAACCAAAAATCAGGCTATAACTTTATTATTTAATAAAAAATAATTAAATATTAATGAAAAACTCTTAAATTTTCATAAAAATGACAAAAGAACTTAAATTTTATTGAAAAGAACACAATTTTAAAATAAAGAAGACCTGACGTGCGGGACCCATGCGTCTTTCACAACACTGTTTATAAAACATTATTTATGAAACTGAACGGTACTACACTATTTATTGGTACAGTTTCATAAATAATGTCTAGTTCTTGGTCCACTTTCATAAATAGGGCATAGTTCTTGATCATGTTTCATAAATAGTGCATAGTTATTTGGTCCAACTTCATAAATAATGTATGGTGGTTGATACAGTTTTATAAATAATGTCTTTTTCTTCATCCAGTTTCATAAATAGTGCCTAGTTCTTGGTCATGTTTTATAAATAGTGTCTAATTTTTGGTCCAGTTTCATAAAGAGTGTCCACCTATTGGTTTAGTTTTAGAAATAGTGCATAATTCTTGGTTTCGTTTCATAAATAGTGTCTACTTATTAGTCTATTTTCATAAATAGTGTACTATTTAGTCCAGTTTCATAAATAGTATATACTTATTGGTCAAGTTTTATAAATAGTGTCTAATTCTTGGTTCAATTTCATAAGGTTTGAAACTTAGACCCTGTTTGGTCCTATAAAAGCACTCATTGCCTCGAAAATGATGAACCAATAAGTGATCCTTTAAATCATAACCTTGAAAAGATTGTGTTCTCAGTAATTATTTCTAAAAAGCTGTTTTCAATTACCAAATTAAAATTCACTCACATTTTTTACATACCTACAATAATTAAATGTAGCTCTCCATCCAATTTCATCTTGGAGAAATTTTTCCTTCTGCACGTAATACAAGTGGTACAACAAATGTTATTTGGCGGGAAATTTTATTTTTTATGTTTTTAACACAAGAATCTCACAATTTATATAAAGATACGTGATGTACCACCCCGTGTTCAGGGCACATTAAAAAATCTCTCATCATCTTGACTAATATTGAGAAACGACACCACAAAAATAAAATTGGGGAATGTAATTTAATTGGGTAAAGTACAAAAAATTACCTCAACTATTGGCGTCAAAACACTTTCATACCTCATCTTTTAAAATTGACAATGTTATACCTCATCTTTAGAATTTGGTCTAATGTTATACCTCCGTTAGCTTGTCCACGAATTGGTCAGTTAAATGCTGACATGGCTTGATCCAGGGCCCAGATCCTCGCCTAGATGGATTCTACGTGGCACCACACCCAATGTTTTCCCGCCAAATGGCATCCACGTCAGAAAATATATTTGGTTTTTTTTTTTTTGGTAATTTGAATTTCAAAATTTGAATTTTCCTGCCAAAAAAAACCTGTGATATACCATTTTAAGCACAAATTATGTCATCCTTGACCTCAAATTTGAAAAATCTCACCCAAAAATAATGATATAACCACAACAACAACAAAACAAGTGTAATCAAGCACAAAATACTCATCATTTGCAAGAAAAATATGAAATAGACCAAATTAAGCATAAAACCTACTTAATTATCCAAAAATTGTTAAACATGTTAAAAAAAACTAACAGAATTCATCTAGCATCTCCAACCAACATTACAAAACCTACTGAATTCATAAAAACATGCTACATCATCCATTCAATTCACAAAAGACCTCTTGGATGCATAAAACATGTTCTAACTTTACAATTCCTTTACAAAAAACAACCATCTATGCAAAAAACGTGGTTGTGGCTGAGTTGGTTGGTATTTCTGTGCTTGGTGCCTTTGGATGATTCAGGTAGTGGATTGCTTGGTCTTTCTCTGCTTGGTGCTTCTAGGTGATTCAGCTATTGATTGTGATGCCTAAATCCAAAGTTCATTTAGAGACCAAGCAAGCTTTTTAACTAAATCCAAATGTTTTACAACTAAGGAAATGGTTAAGTTTTTACCTTTGTTTTCCTTGTCCTCTTTTTAGGTGCAGTTTGTCCTTGAGCAGATGTGGATGCCTACAAAGTAGAAAATGATATTAAAGGATTAATAGTGTAATACGATGTTAAAGGATCTTAAAAACCATATAAAGTAGAAAATGTTACATGTTTGTCCCTTGGAGGAAGATTTCTATGATGGGTTCTTGCATTATAACCTTCTTTTTTGTAGATGGTACATTTCAAAGTGCACTGCCTTTTCCTTCCTAGCTTAAGTGGCTAAGGAGAACCTTGAGGATTATTGGTTAGGTTTGTGGGAGTTTGTTCACCCTCATTGTCCCTCTCAGCAGCTTCCTTGTTTCTCTTATTCCTCGGCCTTCCAGGTTGCCTTGTATATGTA